TATTAATATATTATATAATATATTATATATAATATATATATTATATATATATATATTAGATAAAAAGATGTTGGTAGATATATAATTGAAGTTAAATACTTAACATAATTGGTGCTAGCTCAAGTGGTTCATGAGATTCTTTTGTGCCCCATTGGACCTAGGTTCGAATCCCCTCAACAGCACATTTTTTGCAATTTTTCCACATAAGCGCCACGTGGCATTACAACTCAGCAAAAAAAAAAAAATCGGCGAATTTCCACGTAGCTCAGCCGGTTACAATGACTTGATATAGGCGGTCAGAGGACCAAAAAGCTAATTTTTTTTTCAGTTAGGGGACTATTTCCAAAATCAGTCCATTTACGATACCAAATTAAAAACGGCCTGTAGATAAAGGACCAAAAAACTTTTTTTTCCTATATATGCATATACATATATGTTATGAAATGTCATGTTTGTTATATTATATTTTTAATATATGTGTCTTGTGTATAAAGTATTATTAGTTAGCAAAAGTACAACTCTGTCTAAACAATAGCCTACATAAATAAATATTTCACAATTTTGTTTTATTTTTTCTGGTAAAAAAACTATAGTTTTGCTCTTCTGCCCACAGTAGACACGGGTTGCATGCTCATCGATGATGTGGCAAGATACTTATGCTATGGTGGTGCTCAAAGTATTTTAATTTACTATTTCTCGTTCTATCACATTGGTCTAATTTGTGCAACTTAAGAGGAATGTATTTTTTTGGGATTTTGAGTGATAGTTTGACTTTTTTAAGATGAGCGTATTCATCTAGAATTTTTAAGAGTTTTAAAAATTTTAGAAATCCTGATATACTTAATTTTAATTTTTTATTAAGACATTTAAAAAGTTTCGAGGTATTAATTTTAGATTTAAAAAAAGTCTTATAAAACCCTGAGATGTGTAACTTATTTGAGACTAGAATTTGGTGTAAGATTTTAAGATTTTGGATTATAGAAGAAAAAACCGAAATCTTACTCCATCTCATCTCCATACTTACGAGTTCACACCATTTCATCTAAATATGAAAATATGAAACAAATCTTAATCTCATAAAGTATCAAAATGTCCCTCGAAATTCCAAACGAATACTACATTTTCAGATTTATGAGGAATCATGTGAAATCTTAGGTCTGAAGGTGAGATTTAGCGTGAAATCTTGCATATGATTTCTTTTTCTCTCTCTTATGGAATTTCAACAAATCTTAAAAAGTCATAATAAATCTTAATCTCAAATAAGTGAGCGATATAAAATAAATAAATGGTAACTAGAATTTATTTAAAATAAACTAACATGGAATAACATTTTAGTATATTTGTTTGGTATGAAAATAATTTAACAAATGACAACAAACTATTACAAGGATGAAGTATCAATAAATAAAAAAACGAAATTCTAAGGCAATATGATAAAATAGAATTTTCAATGATAATTTCAATAGTATTACTTTCGTTAGAAACTTTTGTTTCTAAAAAAATATTTCGTAAAATGACTTTTTAAGTTGGATTTTGATAGTCCAAGTGAAAATTTTGCAATAGTTGAATGTGACCCTAAATTTAAATTGAAATTTAAGAAATTGTTGAAATAGGGTTATTTAAATAATCAAATTAAAAATTAATTAATTTTAATGGAATATTTTAGTTCTGATCTAAGAAATTGTTGAAAAATGGTTATTTAAATAATCAAATCAAAAATAAATTAATTTCAATGGAATTTTTTAGTTCTGATCTCTGTTGGAATATGCGTTGGTACTTTTTTTTCCAACAAAAGTTCCACAATTAAAATATTTGTTGAAATTTTCATTTAAATATTTTATTGGTTGAATTAGAAATGGTACTAAAAAGGGAAAACGAGATGTCTACCAAACCAATATGTCAAATATTAGATTAACAAGAAAAATAAAATACCTAGCATAACGTTTAACACGTAAAAAAAATGAATAAGTTACTTAATAAATTATGAAAATCCTAATTTTGAAAACTTTGGGGACCAAAACTGATTATTTTGAATATTGAAATTGATTTTTTTCCCTACAATAGATTTGGATTCTCACCTTGAAACCAACTCTGGTTAAATAATCTGTTGCATTGTTTTCGAAGCCAGATTCAATTGCAGACTGAAAAGAGTCTCCAAGTGCCTTAATTGAGAACTTCACGATACGATCAGTTATAATTGCTCTCGACAGGTTAAATGTCGAATCCCCGTAAAAATTTTCCTGTTTCAACCATGTGTGACTTTCAATCTAATATAAACTCGATAAATGTTAATTGTACATAAAATTAGCTGACTTTTGTCGTTTTAACTATTTAATATCAACTTTTGCTCATTGCGATCGCGCGCGAAGTCATAATAGTCATAGCAAGAAGATGCATGCACATTTTTCGCGCATCGAAAATGTGTCACCTCAAAAATGTCAAGGCGGAGGAAAGAGTCGATTAGGACGAAAACACGCCTATTATTATGTACATTATATAAATTCACAAACTTTCAATTATTTGCAGCATCAAACAAAAATTATGAATAAAAATATTGCAATTCCACACAAACTATAATTCACAATAATTTCATTAATGTTGTGAACTCAAAAAGACATTATATTGATAGCTGTTATGATAAGTGGAATCTACCACTAATAAATATATTATCATTTGAATTATTGTATTAAGATATGTATTGATGTTTGTGCCAAGGCACTAAACTTCATCTATAAAAGGCCCCAAAGGGAGTGTAATTCTTGTACGAAAGTGAAGGCAAAAAGGAAGAAAGAAAGAAAAGATAGTCTGTTACAGTTTATATCCGGTTTCTATACATTGCGTTCTTTATATTCCCCGTATTTTATAACACGTTATCAGCACGAACGCTCTACCCGGTCAAGAAAGGTAGGATATATATACATATTACCATTATTCTTGACAAGTTAGGCTCTGCCACAGTCAAGGATATATATACATATTGCTATTATTTTTGACAAGTTAGGCTCTGCCACAGTCAAAAATATATATATATTACCATTATTCTTGACAAGTTAGGCTCTGCCACAGTCAAGATATGTATACTAAATATGATATTATCTACACGTTACCATTATTATTGGCAAATTAGGCTATGCCATAGTCAATAATATGTGGTGATATGATATTATTAAATTTGTCTATGAATTATTTTTCAAGTTGTAATAAATGCTATTATTTATGCTTAACACCCACAAAAATGGTTTACCCAGTAATGTGGCGTGAAATTTATAACTTTTTATTCTTATACCCACCGTAAAATTTATCAAATAATGTGGAGCATTTTTTACTTGTTTTGTTATATTCACGAAAATATTCATCAAATAATTCGAAAATTTTTTTAAGGTAATATACATGATTAATTAGAATTT